TTTGTTTTATTCACATATTTTCATGATTCCTTTGTTTTGCACGTGATATAACGTCAAAGTACCATTTTAAGAATCTCGACACTCGACTCAACACTATTAAGCGTTGTCAACGATTTATATTTTCTTAATTCTCACGTCGGGGTTCGCTCATAGGCTCTTTCTTTTTTTTTTAATCGAGTGGTTTTGAATTTATTAATTAATATTTTTCTCAAAAAATTTGGTGTCATTCTCAAACGTGCTCTCAACCTTTCATAGAGAAATAATACATATATATGTATCATGTATGTTCCCTAAATGCTCCAAAGCATACGAATAAACCTAAATATTAATGAACGAAATATATGGATACAACTAAACCTCGAGCTAGAACATATATTAGGATGACAGATCAAAAAATAAGCTATGCGCCATAAATATTTATTTTTATTCTTTTTTTTTATAAACCCTATCGGCTGATCCGGTCAGTCTCGGTAGAAACGCACCGAAGTGCTTTATAGTGGACTTCTCTCAGAAAGGCCACCACAATGTATATCCCGAGTTTGTAATGTTTTCCGACTAATGACAGGGAGTAGTCAGACTGTCTGCATTTCTGACTACCATATAAACCAATTAGGCGAAAGCCCAACTGACAGACTTCCCAAACAAATGTGTTTTTTGTTTTCAGGGAGAATCGAACTCGGGTCTGAAAGTTTCACCTTTCACCAAAACTTCCTTTACTACTAGACGACCACATATGTTTGGGCTAATTTCATCTTCCACCAACTCAAAAGGAAAGAAATCTATGAAAATTTGATGACAGGTAAGCTATCACTAGTTGCGATTATGTGGTGAAATGTTGTCACTAACATCACGTTAAAATAGCTCTATCACAAAAAATGGTGAAAAAATTCCATCACCGTCGAACTATATATATATATATCATGTTTCATAAGTAAAAACATTGAATATTTTTTACTCAAAACAATCCAGTAAATTGTCTGCCGCTGATAATATTATTAGTGATTATTTGAGTAATGAACTACTAATGTTACCAAATTTTATTTAGCTCAGTTGGCTGATGTCGATTTACATGGGAAATAACATGTGGAGAGTTCGATTCAACATGTTTAAACTTTTATTTTTTTCTTCCAAAAATCAATTGTTTTCCGTTTTTTTGGCTTGTAGTCCAAATATTCTTAAGACTAAACTGGTTGTAATCGTATTCGTATGATGCAATCTCAGAAATATCAACACATATTAGATCTTCGACTATTTTATCTACAATCATAATAATTTGAATATATTCAAACATGTTTTGAACGTAAGTTAAATGATCTAATGATTTACGTTAATGTTGTTGTATCAACCATCCAAAATTGAAATCCGCATATCATATATTATAAACAAAAGTAAATAATATATAACAGTGAATCCGGCCGAATCCAATTTTATCTTTATCAGTATGATTTTCAAAGACTAAATTTTTTTGACTAAAAGTACTTGACATGAGTCTTTATCTTCTTAAGCTAGTAATTCCAAATTGAAGGGACGATAGCCTAAACCACTTTTTAAAAAATAATAATGATTTTGGTTTAGACCAAAAAAAAAAAGTATATAATTTGGTGTCTTTAGTTGAAATACCATGTGAAGAATTGCTGACAAACTGCTTTATACAGTATACACCAAAACTCAGAGGTTCATGAATAGTCCAAATCATATCAAATAAATGAATATATACAAATATAAATCGGATAGATAGATAATGAAAAAAAAATAAGCAGTGCATGTGGATGATTATTATAGAGTTAGTGAATAATTGAATCGATCCGTTGATCCTAGGACTTGTTGGATTAGAGATTTTTATATATTCGTACGCCGAAGTGAGTCCTTCCATCCCCAAGAGCTAGTAGAGTTCGCACACTACTAGGACCCACACCGTCACATGATCTAACGTGGAGATTGTTGGACACGTGTTCGATTCCCATTCGTCCCAGTTAGAAATATTCATTTGTCAGAAAGAAGAGTACCGATCCCTAGGCAAAACCACGTGATTGTTGAATGATGTAATTATTTCAAATTGTGCATCTTCTACTTAATCTTCCTTTGTTTTAAATTAATCAAAATAACACGTAAAACAGTTTTTATAAAATCGTATCTTGTCACGTATTTTAGACAAGAGTGGGTCCTAACGAAAACATGGGCTCTTACTTGCTCGCAAGTCACCCGCGCCCTCTCACCTCTTCTATGTGCACATGCTAATCCTCCACCGACTAGATACGCATACGGTCGCATATCGTATATTATACGTTATCAATACGGTCAACCGTACCAAAAAAATGTTTATAATTTACTACCACCCCCTACCCCGCCAACATTTCTGTATCATTATTACTATTAACTATAAATTATGTGTCACGGATTTGTATTACTCTTGTGATAGAGCCTTAGAGGTGGTGGCAATTTAATTTTTTCATTTATTATATTTGTATATGTGGACACATTTAAGTGTAACTTTATTTAGTCATGTACTTGTTGAGATCATGGAAAGAAATCTTTTGAGGAGTTTAGCCTTTTTCTAATACAAAGCGTAAAACTAAGCTAGTATATATATAAAGTTAACGTTTTAGTTCTTCAATTAATTTGGATTTAATATTTTCTATTTTTATATGATTTAAAGATATGTTCAGTTTAAAGCAGAAGTCTTACCAAACTCATATTTAGCGTTTCGTAAACAATTTAGATCAATGTCATACATGCGCTTGAGTTACTTTTATTGGACCTAAAATTTATTTGGTTAGAGAAACTAAGGTTTCCTACATAAATCTACTCTTTTAATCAATATTTGTTGAGATGTCTTAATCAATTTAAGTTTAATGATCGACGACACACATAAGAGAAGCCTTTTCTTTTTATGCCGGAAGTTATACGAACATTTTTGGTCCCAACCATATATAGGCCGAGGTTCAAAAAATTTCATAGCATAATAAGCATGACATTAAATAAAAAAGAATAATGTACTTTATTTTGCTATAATACATGAAGTGATCTCAACATACAACCATTGACGGAATGTAATATATGTATATAGACACATAGTACATGACTTTTTCTATGTTTATAATATATATACATAGTACATGTCTTTATATGTTTATAATTTTAAGAAAAATAGCACCTACATATACTGATATACATATATATAGCTTTTTGTCATTTGGAGAGTAATGGGGAGAACTCTTTCAGAAGAAAGTGATCGTGTATGGAGTGAGGTCCAAGTTAGTTACTGAAAATATATACTAAAAAGGAAGAAAAATAAAAGAAAGAAAGTGAAAAAGTAGAGCCTTAGAAAATCAGCATTAAATTAAATAGGTCGATCATGTTGTTTTATTTTTAATTTCTATTTCTTTAGGAAAGAGTATGCTTGAAGTAAGGAAGCTAAGAGTATTGTTGAAGTTAGCTTAAGAAAATGGTGATATAGAAGATAACCTCAAAGGAAAACTCATTGGATATGTCTAAAAATGTGGAGTTCTTTGGATTTGAATTCATTGTGTCTTCGATTTTTGGTGACTGCGTACAGTGTTCTCCATAATCTATTATATTATTATTTTTTTTTGTTAACCTAATCAAGTTTATCCATTTATTTTTATGATTTGGTATATCATCATTGTTCAGTAAGACTGGAAACTTAGAAAAAAATTCTTATGATGCATATCTACCAGAAAAAAATGATTAGATCATTTTATTACCACTTTATTAATTTTCAAGATATCTTAACAAGAAAATGATCAACCCTTCACTATAGGGATTACTTTAGTTCATCTATATATTGCCTGACTTTTTAGCTAACTAATGAAAACTAAGTTAAAAACATAACTAATTGAAATTTTGTTAAAACTTCACTGATATACTTAATTAGTAATTAAGTTAAATATTATTAGAAAATTTTTAAGGCCGGAGTTTAGATATAAAGGATATAATTTTCTTTGCGACTTAAGCAAGAAAATTTTTTCCGAGGGCAAAGACTCCATGAAAAACTTTTTATTTGGTTTAAAACTCACAAAGAATTTTATTCCTCTTGATGGAGACAAATGAATTGTAATATACTAAATAAATAACAACTATATTCACCAAAAAAAAAAATAAATAACAACTATAAGAAAATATATTATTGTAACCGTGAAGGCGTGAAGTCTAGTTAGTATTTATTACTTTGATAAAAAAAAACGTAGAAGCTTTTTTTTTTTGTGTGTGTAGTAAAACAAAAGAAGGTACAGAGTGGAGTCATGTTTCCTTAAGCCTGTGAATAATATAGGCTTTTATGTAGTTTAACAAAAAAAATGGTAACATGTATTTGGAAAAAGTCTATACTTTTACTTTGCAACACGTAGTCTAAAGAGAGGCAAAAACAATGGGAAGAAAATTATAAAAATCCCATATCAATAAAATATTGGAATTGATACCAAACAAAAAAAAGAAATTGGAATTACATGTACGCGTAAACGTCGTATATTTCCTTGGTGCCATTTCACCTTCCCATTATCTCATTGACTTTCTTATGCATATACGGTAGGAGCGAAACCATATATGACTAGAATTATACGCGTTAAACAATTCTAGAATTTCTTAACTTTAATCTAAAAAGTAAAAATCCTATTTACTCTGCTAATTACGTCACCTCTCTTTACTTAAATGACAATTTTTTCGGATATTTTTTTTAATCTTGCTTTACAATACACAAATAAGCTTTGTTGAAAACATAAAAGTATTATAGATGAGAAGATATGTATGTAACTTTAACTTAAACAATATTTTTCTCTTTAATAAGGTTTCCTTAAACCATTGCTTTTTGCAAAACAAAAACAACTTTTGTACAGCTAAGCAAGGTTTGTGAATAAATCATCTTTGGTAAAGTCTCAATGAGATATGGAACCCACATGAGGGAGGTGAGATTATGATTTTTTTTTTTTTAATGAAATGTTTATTTTAGAGAGAGAGAGAGAGAAAGAAAGAGACTTCCACATGAAGACAGGGTAAGGAATGGTAAAATACAGCTAGCAAAAGAAGTGTTTCTCACACCTAACTCTTTATAATAATAAGAGAGAAGCAAGCAAACCCCATTGCTCTCCATTACTCATTTTTTTCCCAATCAATCACTCTTCACTTCTCCCCACTCATTGCTCCTTTTTTTTTTCCTTTCTAAGCAATCTCTCTCTCTCTCCTTCTCTCTTCTTATATTCTCAAATTTGATTCTTTTCTCTCTCTCTCTCTCATACGATCTGCACACCACTAAGAACAACAGAGGTTTGATTTCCTCCTTCTCATTCTTCATTTTTGGTTTTGCTTTTCTTGGGGAATTCTTGAAATTATAATGGGTTTTTAGGAATCTTGATGTTCAAAATTGAGTTTTTGCATAATTCAAGAAGTGTCGGTGGAGGCATTTATTTGTAACTAATTGTTCTGAACTTGGTTTTGTTTAACACTATGTTTTTTGTAACTGAATTTTTTTGTGTTTTCTTCTTCTTTTCACACAAGAATTCTAGAAGATAGATAGATAAACCAAGAATGCTAAATTAACGGTGACTTTTGACTTTAAGAACCCTTTAGTCTACTGTGATTGAATTGTACATAGAATGGTCCTCATTATTATTACTAAGCCTTATCAAAAAAAAAAAAAAAAAATCAAAAAAGGTGGGCCAAAGAATGTTCAAATTTTTGATTTTAAGGTGGTTCCAAAATTTGGTTCAAATTTTCAAAACTTTTTCAGAAACTTCCTCTGTTCAAACTCTTGTCATTTTCCTCTATATAATTATTTCATTAGCCCATCTCTCATTATTTATTCTTTCTTATATCCAGCTAGCTAGAGTTGCAATAATTGTAAAAGATGATTGGACAAAGCTTCCCGGAGGATCTTGATTGTGGCAACTTCTTTGACAACATGGATGATCTCATGGACTTTCCCGGTGGAGATATCGATGTCGGTTTCGGCATAGGTGACTCCGACTCTTTTCCTACAATCTGGACCACTCATCACGACACGTGGCCCGCCGCTTCTGATCCTCTCTTCTCTTCCAACACCAACTCTGACTCATCACCTGAGCTCTATGTTCCGGTTAGTTCTATGCTAACCTACGCCCTCTTCTTATAGCCAATTAGTATGATTTTACCAGTGTGTACATATTTAACCACAAGTTTAATGAGTATACTAAATGAAAACTGTGTCATTTTGGGTGGTTTTTAGTTAGATCAAGTTTGTTAATTTCCCGCTCATTATTTGGTTAGTTTTATGCTAACATACGCACTTTCTTAGTTCTGTTTTTGCCTGATTTTACCATATCAAAAAGTTTCTGTTTTTATAGTTAGATGAAACCCTTTTTTTGGCGCTTAATTATTTTTCTGTAGAATTTGTCTAACAATGTTTCTTTTATTGGGGGTGAAATTGCAGTTTGAGGACATTGTTAAGGTGGAAAGACCACCAACCTTTGTGGAGGAATCCTTGGTTGAGAAGAAGGAAGATTCGTTTTCGACAAACACGGATTCATCATCTTCTCATAGCCAATTCAGGAGCTCAAGTCCAGTGTCGGTTCTCGAAAGCAGCTCCTCCTCGTCCCAAACCATCAACACAACCTCTCTTGTTCTCCCTGGAAAGCATGGTCGTCCACGCACAAAACGCCCTCGTCCACCGGTCCAGGAGAAAGATAGAGTCAAAGACAATGTGTGCGGGGGAGACTCTCGCCTCATTATTAGAATTCCAAAACAGTTTCTCTCTGATCACAACAAGATGATCAATAAGAAGAAGAAGAAGAAGGCCAAGATTACTTCTTCCTCTTCTTCGTCCGGGATTGATCTTGAAGTCAATGGAAAGAACGTCGATTCGTATACTTCAGAGCAAAGGAAATGTATGCACTGTGAGGTCACCAAGACTCCACAATGGAGGCTTGGGCCAATGGGTCCAAAGACGCTTTGCAATGCGTGCGGCGTGCGCTACAAATCAGGGAGGCTTTTCCCGGAGTACCGTCCAGCTGCGAGTCCAACATTTACTCCAGCTCTTCACTCAAACTCACACAAGAAAGTGGCTGAAATGAGAAGCAAGAGATGCAGTGATGGTAGCTACATAACCGAAGAGAATGATCTGCAAGGACTGATTCCGAACAATGCCTACATTGGCGTAGACTAAAACCGAGAAAAGATGAGTCGATTTCCATGCGTTGAAGTGATTAGATATGCCAGGAGTAGGAAAGAGTCAGTGAGCAGAAAAGATTTAGCTTTAGAAGAAATGAATGAAGAGAACAATCAATTGGGGGATTAAAAAGTTAGATGAGAATTGATTGTGTTTGTATTTTGTATTTTTAGTGTGAATGGGCAAAAACTCTTGAAACAGAGGAAAAGTAAGTTGAGGAAGAGCAGATGATTTTGAAGACATTAGAGAATCATTAGGTGTTGAGTATTACATTAAATCTTCCTCTCCTTCTTTTGTTCTTTCAATTCTTTGTATTTTTCTTGTGAGGATTCTCTTTTCTTTTTTTTTTTTGTAGTTGATTTGTTTAGCTAAAGAATTCTTTCTTTCTTTTTTTTTGTTTTTGTTAAAATCCAATGTTATAAATTGTTAATTATTAAATTGTTTCCTTACCATTGAAACTACACAATGCTAAATACATTTTTTTTTTGCCGACAAGCTAAGTACATGTCTAAAATGACATTGACATGTATTAATATTACTGGCTGATTCAAGTCTAACATAGATTGAAAAGGTTTCTAGTTTCTTAAAGCTTTTATGGTCAAGTTAGAGTTAGTGGCGTGTTTAAATCAGTGGTTTTATGATATAAGCAATAATGTAAACTTAAATGGAGATGAGAGATAGAGTAACAACCACTATCTTTTTCTAAACAAAGACTAGCTTTTATGTAAATCCACCCATCTATGATGCCAATTTAAGTTAGAGTGTTTCTTAATTTACCAACCTTCTTTCAAATCAAAACTCACTCATTTCTTATTCTTTCATAATTACTGAAACTATTTTTTCAGCATATTAAATTTGCAGAGCATTTATATAGCAACGAGCGAATGCTTATTTTTTCAAAAAACTTACACTTGTTTCGTTCTCATATTGTTATTTTCAGACCATAAAGAGGACTTAACCAACTACTGGACAAAATAAGGATGCTTTTATAATCGTCGATGCACAAATAACCAACTCGATTGGACAACATATCTTCTTTCCTTCACGATTTTGATGATTTCACCGAACAATTTGTTTTTTCTTTCTCTTTTGTCTTTTAATTATGTCATTTTCTTACTGGATATGTTCAATGGTCGAAGTTGGGTCTTAGCCTAACACATTACATATATTTACAATAGACATATCTTTTTCATCTATTTTTTTTGGGTTCAAAGCAGACTTTACATATGTTTACATAATTCTGCAGAAGTCAAAATCCGAGAGTTCCCTAAGCATGAAAAAATTGAGGCGAATCTCTATACTATTAAAAGAGAAGTACAAATGAAAATCTCTATACTATTAAAAGAGAAGTACAAATGAAAATGGGTCGGGTTAAAATCGGAAAATTGACCCAATTTCTGAAATCGGATCTTTGAAATTTTTTTGGTATATAAATTCGAATTAATAATGAAAAATCGAAATAAAATCAAATATTTATGGAAATCAAATAAAATCTGATTGTACTTATGGTAACTAATAATAAAAGCATATTCCGAACAAAATTATACATTAATTACGTATAATAAATTTGTTCATATATTTTTGGGACTAATTTCATAACAATCAACGTTTTTGTCATTAATTTCGCTCATTTTAGCCAATTATCATTAATTGAAAGATATTTTATTTGCTTCTAAAGATTTCTAGAAAATTTATCACAAATAACTCATCTATTTTATAAACTAAATTGATATTTTTATTTTAGTCGTGTAAATTAAATAGATATTTTTATTTTGGTTGTGTAAATTAAATAGATATGAAATCCATGTAACTAATTTTAATTTAATTAGATTAAATCGAAATTATGATATTTTCATACCTATAGCTTACCAAAGAAGTTTAATTTTCAATTTATAAAGATTTCTTGAATATGATTTTAGAATTATTCAATAAGATGATAAGTATTTATTAAATTTTGTGAATCATGAAAAATAATAATTAATTTTTAATCATTATACTTCATCTTTCAATCTCTCATCTAACAAATAAGATACATATTCTATTATTACTATGTCCAAACTTCATTTTGTTGTATGACTAAATAATATTCCCATTAGAACTGTCAAAGCGAGTTGATTCGTCCCGTTAAGTCTGTTTTGCGATAGACAAAAAATATTTTGACTTGTAGTTAGTCGGTCCGCACGACCCGCGGGTAGCATATATGAAATACAAACCCGTCCCGCGATAGTATGTGGATTTGCGGGATTGTCCATGGATTTTGTTTAAATAATTTTAAAGTAACCAAAATTTAAAATACTACTAAAATAAATAAATAAATAAAAATACTATTAAAAGTTTGTTTAAATTACCACATGTTGAATAAATTATAATTTTATCAATAAATACTAATATGCGGGCTGATCCGCCAACCCGCGGATGAAAACCGATTAAACCTATGACCCACTGCGAATTAATCCATGTGGCCCGCTTATTTGCGGATTTAATATATTTTCCCAAATCTGCCCCATAGTGAGATGATGTGGGCTCGACCCGCGGTTTTTGACCTATTTTGACTGCTTTAATTCTCATGAATCGTCTAATTTTAGAATTTTAAAACACAAAATTCTATTTTGTAAATCATAATTAATACGATGGGTATATTTATAAACAATTTTACATTTTCTCTACAATTCGTTATTATGAATATTTATAAGTATACTACACGATTCGTTCTACTAAAAAACACACACAATATTAAACGCAACGTTTGTAAACCAATATTCTCCCGCGGTGGACCGCGGGTCCGATCCTAGTTCGACTACATTGCCGAATTAAAGCCTAGAATGTTTTAAGGGAATTAAATAAGATTAAAAAATATATATATTCAAAATAACAGTCGTATGCAAGATTAACCTGTTAAATCACAATTTAATATTCCGACGACACTGTAAAGATCTGACTAAATCTCACACTGATCCATCATACTTGTTGACAAAAGGTCCTATTCAAAATACCATTCTTATGCATATAATCGTAATTTGAGTTGTGGAACATAGTCACTCGTGTCAATGTATAGAATGAAATCCGACAATTAGCGTAATACGTTGAATATTATCTGAAAAAATGTCAAACTATATATTTGATTAGTAATTAAAAAAAAATCATGTTTTCTTAGAAAATAAATCAAACCTTCTCTTCTCGTCGTCACTTTCACTCAATTCGATCAACACAAATACACAATCACTCAGGAATCAAGACCCAACACTTTTGTCTTGGTTGTTAGGGGCTGGGTTAAATACTATTAGGCCCAGTATCGGCCCACGTAGTATTTTTCTTTTCTGTTTCATCTAAGCTCTATAGTTTTTGTTTATACATTTTCTTTGTATTCCTCATTTTCCTAACAAGCCTATATTGGTGTCAGAATAGACCACCACTGCACGAGAAAAAACATTTAATTTTGATCGCGAGGAATAAATTGTGTAACCAAGTGATCGTGGAGGTAACATTACTACATAGACATAGTACATAGTGTTACAAAAGAAAATTATATTTCCTAATAATTAAAACAAAAGATAAAGTAGTAAAAATATTATTTTTTCGTCACATCATTACAATTTTCCTAATTTATGTTTAAACCATTGCTGTTTGGCCTACTAAAGGTATAAGAAAGACACGCCACAGAGATCCATCGAGTGGTCTACAATTTCTATGTTTTGGAATCAACTCATTTGCTACAATGACAAACTACCACATATATTTATTTACTTTACAGAAGAATTATTTGAATAATCCAAAATCAAAGAGGAGAAAGTTGTATTTACATTTCTGATTAACATTTTAACGTCAAAAGAAAAGATGTGAAACATAAAGTGTGCAACTGGGGCATTCACGGGAACAGATCAAAAACCTTTTCAAATATACTTCCTAGTAAAAGAGGAATAATTCAGATTACCACACTGATAAATTAGGAGCAAATTCGTTTTAACAATCCAAAAGAAATAAACAAAGAACTAAGTTAGTTGTGGTGCTGACGAGCCCTAGTCGGCCCTAGTCCCAAGTGGACGGCAAAAAAACAGAAGTTCACTATTAAAAAAGTTAAAGTTAATAGTGAAAAGGATTAATGTAGGAAAAAAATGACTACAAGACTTCAAAATCTTTTGGCAAGAGGAAGAAAAACATTAGAAACAAAAACAGAACAAGGCAAAGCTGCAAAAGTCAAGTTTCATTTTCTTCGTTATTTACCATCACTTTTGTGTTGTCATATTCATCTTTTTCTAAGCAGATAAAATATTTAGCCAAAATTTATGTAACTTCTGAGATCAAAAACTGGTCTTTTTTTTGTTTATCACTTCAGATATACCCAGTGATCAACATAAAATCAGTATATGTTACGAAGATTCTAAAAGTTGAAAAGGGCATGCTAATCTGAATGAATACCCAATTTTTTTAGATTCTAGAAGCTCTGTTTATCTATATATCAACTAAATAGTCGGCATGAAGCTCTCAAATACTTGGTCCACCTATTTATAGAGTACACAACTTTTATTGGAAACAGCTAAATGGAAAACTCTGTATTATTTAGGGTTTGGTACTAGTTCCTTTTGTTGTGCAACTATCAATGAATAACATATACTACCTTATATTGATAACTCCAAAGTCCAAACTCTAAAATGAATCGTTAAAAATGGAAGTAGAAAAAATTTGGTGGCCTCTCATTACTCTTTATTCATTGTTGGGTACAAACCAACGTCCAACATCGGAAGTTTAGAAAAGAAGATTATAATATATAAATAAAGTTCAACTCCAATTAGCAAGAGGTCTTTTGGGAAGAAGTCCAATAACAAATCCGTGCGGGCATGAGCATGTAGGCGCAAAGCGGACAATATCATACTAATCAGGGAGTTGGATTGGGGTTGGAAAACCCAATAAATGGTATCAGAGCCTAGGTTGAAAAATGTGGACCTAGGGGTGTGGGCTAAAGTTCGGTGTGGGAGAAGCCCTCACATGTGACATGATAAGAAGGTGCCTCAAGAACTTCACGAATAAGGTGCCGAGTTAGGGGCCAAGGTTTCGCTGAAGAGGAGGCCCAATGTTCGTGGTCCTTGGTTTGAAAGGGAGATTGTTGGGTACAAACCAACGTCCCACATCAGAAGTTTAGAGAAGAAGATTCTAATATATAAGTAAAGTTCAACTCCAATTAGTATGAGACCTTTTGGAAAGGAGTCCAATAATATATCCGTACGGGTTTGTGCATGTAGGCTCAAAGCGGATAATATCATACTAATGGAGGAGTTTGAATAGGCTTAGGAAAGTCCAATATTCATATCTAGTTTGCTCAGTGCCGACTCTACTATCTAGCTATTATGAGATTCTTATGTTAAAAACTTTTCAAATCATCACAAATATTTTTTACCTAGATTTTATTTTTGTCCATGCCTGTAGTAGTAAACATTTTATCTTGGATTAAGGTCTTAGACCCATATCATTCCATGTATCGGGATCAGAGCAAGAAAATTAGTTTACGTGCTCTTTTGGAAGGTCTTATAGTAGTATACCAAAGGAGCTACAGATGATGGATTAATACATTTAACCATCAATTTAAGAGAAAAAACATCAATAACAAATGGTATATTATTTATATAAAATATTTAAAATCATTGGAAAAAACACAGTATGAAACGCTAAATTTTCAAGAGCTCAAAACCTTATTGGATTTTCAAAATGGGCAATGATGGACACATGTTATTCGTCGAATTATTATTTGGATTCTCAAGCTGGCCTTTTCTATCGTATTTTCTTCTTTACAACATTTTTTTAACCCCATTGTCAAAAAGTCGGCTTTGAGCCCATGATTGTAATAAATGGGATAGCTTGAATATTGCAACCACCACACTAAGAGTTCCCGTCTAATATTTGTTTAACTTAATGAATTACAATTTACACATGTATTTTGTAGCAAATATAACTTGAAATCTTTCCCTTAAAAATATATTCATCATAAAAGCCAAAGCTTTAAGCATTAGCCAAAACATTGTTTGTCCTGTCCACAAAATACCAAAACTTATAAATAATGGAAAAAAAAACAGCCTAATCTACAGAAAATTAATCACCTCAGTTGGTTGCCAACTTGCCATCATTTCAAAACCTTAAAAAACTATGTAAAATGATCATTTCATTAACAACAACCAAAAAAATGTAAAGTAAAACAGAGTCCAAAGCCTCGTCACATCTGCCCATAAATACCCTTCACCGACTCACCATCTCACCACATCAATTCTCTCATTTCTCTCTCTCTCGCTCTCTCACTTTCGAATATATCTTTAAGATAACTGAGACATACTCTTAAGTTTGGTGAAGAATAAGAAGACAATGACGAAGGAAGTGGTTGGGGATAAGAGATCTTTCTCCGGGAAAGACTATCAAGACCCACCGCCTGAGCCTCTGTTCGACGCTACTGAGCTTGGGAAATGGTCTTTCTACAGAGCTCTCATCGCTGAGTTCATAGCCACTCTCCTCTTCCTCTATGTTACCGTTATGACTGTCATCGGTTACAAGAGCCAGACCGATCAAGCCCTGAATCCTGACCAGTGTGCAGGCGTTGGCGTCCTTGGCATCGCATGGGCCTTTGGTGGCATGATCTTCATCCTCGTCTACTGCACCGCCGGCATCTCTGGTATGCTCTCTCTCTCTCTCTCTTTATCTTTTTGATATAGTAGGTTTTTCTTATTTTCATCTATTTGCTCCTTAAGTGTCACACTTGTTAAGTTGTTAGCTCAAAACAGAACTTGCTATACTTAATTTACCACAAAATAAAATGCTCATTTTCCTTTTTTATAAGGATTTTTTGCTATCTTGATTGGAAAATGTAATCAGAAGTGACTAACAAAACATGAATTCGGTTTGTTATAACATTAAAGAAAGCATGAATATGAATAGGTTTTCTAATTTTCTTGGTTTATAACTTTATATGTATAATAGTCCAATACTAGACCCCAAAAACTTTCCAATAATACTAAAAATAATTTTTTTGATGAATTTCGGTTTTTTGTTCGGTTAGAATATTAGTTAAGTTTTTTTTTAAGAAACAATGTGATCACTCATTCGTAATAAAATTTAAATGTAGTTTGGTTTGGTTTTAATGCTCACATAAATGTTTTGGTTAAACTTATTTTAATGAAACAGGTGGCCATATTAATCCGGCCGTGACTTTTGGGCTGTTATTGGCTCGGAAAGTAACGTTGTTGAGAGCAGTGATGTACATGGTGGCTCAGTGCCTCGGTGCCATTTGTGGTGTGGCTTTGGTCAAGTCCTTCCAGTCTGCTTATTACAACCGCTACGGTGGCGGCACAAACGGTCTCTCCGATGGTTATAGCATCGGCACCGGTGTTGCCGCCGAGATCATAGGTACATTCGTCTTAGTCTACACCGTCTTCTCTGCCACTGACCCCAAGAGGAGTGCGCGTGACTCTCACGTCCCGGTAAGCCCTTTATTTTTCCCTTTTGATTATTTATTTTAATAGAATGTGATATGATTATGTCAAAACAGAGAAATTGAGTCATGGTTAGATAATTTAGAAACTCATCGCATTAAAGGAAACAATAGAATACCCGTGTCCTATACGGCGCACTACTTATCATTAAGATTTTAGCCGTAGAAAATGTATGCTTGTTGACAAAAAAAAAAACTTACTAGATTAAAAAAAAAAAAAAAAAAAGCTTACTAGATTCGAAATTCATATTTAGAATCGAATTAAGAAAGAAAAATAGACCGTACGACATATCAGGGATATATTGCGAGTGTAGTTTCTAGATTCGTTATTATAATAAAATGACATAAAACACATCGATGGTCTAAACTTTTTGTCTTTCACGTCTCTCTCCATCACACATGTCCTTATTTGGACATGGTCCCAGCTTCATTTGTAACCACGTATACTTCTCCCAAACATTACTATATGAATATTTGTTGTACTACACTATTGTCTCGTGAATAGTAACATTTCATTTTGTTGTTGTTGGTGGTGGTGTGGTGATTGAAGGTATTGGCTCCTTTACCAATTGGATTTGCAGTGTTCATCGTTCACTTAGCTACAATCCCAATCACGGGCACTGGCATTAACCCTGCAAGAAGTCTCGGAGCTGCAATCATCTACAACAAGGACAAAGCTTGGGATCATCATGTACGTTACTATATCAAATATTTACTTCTTTGTCTTCAATATTACCAATCGACAAAGTTACAATTTGTTAATGTTTTCCTATTAATTATTACAACAGTGGATATTCTGGGTGGGTCCGTTTGCGGGTGCAGCCATTGCGGCTTTCTACCATCAGTTTGTGTTGAGGGCTGGTGCGATTAAGGCGCTCGGGTCCTTCAGGAGCCAGCCTCACGTTTAAGTTTGATTTTCTCTTCCCCAAGTATCAAAGAGGGGAAAAAGAGAAGATAATAATAGAGGCTTGATTTATCTTATGTAGACCGGTTGGAGCCAAGTGACTTGTAGTATCTAATTTCTAGCTTTGGTGAGGAGAGATTTTGAAGTGTCACTTGAGGGCCTACTTTGAATTGCGACTTCTATAATTAAATCTATGTCTCTACTCCTTGACTTAATAATATTGCTCTATTTATTACTCTACTAAATTCCTTATGATCGACTTAAGTGCCGAGTATTTCTTTACAATTACACATGAAAGTAAGAATTTACATGTGAAAGTGGAATAGTGTGGTTCCACATCAATGAGATTACCTTCCACGTTCCAATCAAACTATGTTGTGGTTCCTTGTAGTTTGGAAAGTAATGTCACTGATGTTGTTGGGCATAGTGTAGTGAGTGGATTGGACGGTGATGGAAAAGACTCATCGTGAGGTCAGATAAAGTGGCCATCAACCTCATCATAAAGAAAGCTTTAACAACTTTGTGGTTCATGCGCATTTTTTGAAGCACATGATGATGATGAAAATGGGTTTCGCAGAAATCTATGGACGAGCTAATCTCTCGATTTCAAACTAACCTCATGTTCAAAACTAAGGTCTTAATCATCCTTCATATGAAAATACAAGGAAGCATCATCGTACACATTTCAACTCACTTATAACTTTTCGTTTCTAGTATTATGGGAGATAATTTGGGAACCAATATATATATATTTGAACCAAATTCTTGTCTTGCGGAATACGTATAAAGTACTGTGAAATGTCAAATTCTAATTATGAAGTGAATCTCTTAAAACTTAAATTGTTTCCTTATTCATCAAGCAAAATAAATTTCAATGATTTTAAAAATTTCCAAATGCTTTATAAATTTAATTTGTAGTCAAGACATTATTCTCCTGCTCCTGTTAAGATTTTTTTTTCTTTCTATATGAGATTTTAATTCACAAATTTCTTTTTATTTTTCCTCAAGTAAAATGTTTACATATCGGTATTAGAAAGAAAAAAAAAAAAGCAATTAAAAAGGTCGGTCTACTTGTGGCTCACTGGTTCGAAACCTAGGTTTAGATTTTTACTTGACCACAACGAAAACTAGTCTAATAAATAAACAAAAAGTTATGAGTTTTCTAGTTGACAAAAAAAAAAAAAAATTATTAGTTTTATTCTTTTGGATTCCAGAATTTGACGGAAAATAGAAGCGTCGAGTTCCTCTCCCTCAGGTTGTCAATGGCGGCTAGGTTACTTGCTTTGAGACGCGCTTTGTCTCTTTTCAGTAACCAACAACATCGAATTCCTTTGTCTCAAGGTTTCAACTTTGTCCTCTTTACGAAAATTAGAGTTTATGAAAATTCGGGCACCAGAGTTAAACTGGTGGCTTAATCTGTGTAATTTATACTTGCCTTGATGTTTCTTTTGATGAATTTGGTTGAGAATCATCTAAATTTGTGATTTTTATGTTTGATTTTACACTAGAAGTTGATTTTGTATAAATACGGAGGCTAGGTTATAGTTTTGGGGGAGATTTTGGTTTTAGGGTTGTTTTGGTACCTTTTAGGGATTTGGGGCATTAGTGATTGTTGAGTACTCGCATTCACATGTGTATCATCTAATATCTTCTTTGCTCTGTTACATTTTGGAGTTTGAGAAAGCTTACGAAACTTAAGTTACGAATGCTTATAAAAGTGCTTTGTCTTGAACATATGTATGCATTGAGCATTGGTTGTGAACATCGGCTTTTTAGCAAGACACTGGTTTAGTTAGCATGGATTAAGTTAGTGTTCCAATACCTGCATCTTTAGATCTAAACATTGTTTGTATTTCCTGTCTTTCTTCTTGAGTTTTAGCTCTTATGAAAGCACTCCATTTGTGAGTTGCGACCGCTCTTTTCTTGCTGCTATAAAAGCGTTAATCTATGCGTTCACCAATACGTTCATGTGTTGTGTTGTTTACATAATGAAACTCAAGTTTAAAATCTACTCTTTGATGCAAATATTGTCCTAGGAGGTTCCTATGTTGTCCTGTTATGGTACTGACTGTTTTCGCTGCGTGCAACTTCAACTACTGTTAAACTGATCTTTCTCGATTATCTTTTTTTTTTGTAAATAGTCTCAACAGAGCAGTTGTCGCTATCAAACTCACTCTTTGGCAGAAATCATGTGTATGGAAGATTATTTCAGAGACAATTATCTGTAATCCGTGAGGCAAATGAAGCTCCAGTAACCAATGTCTGCAAGTCTTCAAACTCTGCTACTGAAACGGCCAATGTTCCCTCCCCTGCGACGGCCTCTGAGGAAATGATGGTGAAGTACAAGTCCCAGTTAAAAATAAACCCGCGGCATGATTTCATGATGGTCTTCACTTGCAAGGTCTGTGATACAAGATCTATGAAGATGGCGAGCCGAGAATCATATGAAAACGGCGTTGTGATGGTACGATGTGGAGGGTGTGATAATCTTCATTTGATTGCCGACCGTCGTGGTTGGTTTGGAGAACCAGGAAGTGTGGAGGACTTTCTTGCTTCTCAAGGGGAAGAATTCAAGAGAGGATCCATGGATTCTCTTAACCTTACACCTGAAGATTTAGCTGGAGGAAAGATGTCTACTGAATAAAGAGAGCTCTTTTTTGCTTTTGCTACTTGACCATTATGGAACCGAACTTCACCTTATGTTCCAATATTATTATGTTTCTTGTAGATCACTGTTTGGTAATATTTCCAATGCTGAAGATGTTTGATACAATTATGTGTTTGCAATGTTCCATATGAATTGAGATGTTCTATTGATGTAGGACAAAAACCAAATCTCAAGAGAAACAAAATGAGTAGAACTCAAGATTGATCAGTTTTAGGTGTTCAACTTCTCAATGATCTCTGCAAGGGCTGAATATGTGCCAATGACTGAACATACTGCTCCTACTGTCATAATTAAGATACAGATCGTCACCTACAAACACACCACAGATCGTTACTTCGATTCAAATTTGAAGAATTTCGATTTTTGGTTTGGTTATCAGAAGTGACCAGGCCATACCTGAGTAGGGGTTACTTTTCGCCTTAAGATGCTTAAGAAACAAGCTGGCGGTAGTATCAGCGTCTGTGTGTCCAGAAAAATTTCAGGCTAAACAAATTCATCTATGAAATTGCAAAATATGAATTTGCTTTACATAACCAGAAAAAGATGAAACAAATATGTAACTTACAATGAGCATTGTCAAGAAGGATCCAATCAATGACATGACAAGACCTGCAAGAATTCTAAGTGTCAAAAGAAGTGACTTGTTTTTGTTCATGTATATTTTTCGAGTGTCCTTACCGAAGAAAGGAATCGCAAGACCAACGAGCAGAGTAGAGAAGGCTAATGCACTTCTAATGGCGATTGAGTAGAAACGTGATTTCCCATGGTTTGATGGTATTAACTCCTCAAGACTCATTGCAACCGGAGATAATGTCAAAGCATATGTGCTTTCTTTCTATTAAGGCCACACAATTTTCAGTTTCTATTTTGAATAAGCTATATGAAAAATTACAGAAATAAGTGAAAAGTCTCTGAATATTTCTTGAGAAAGGATATTTGGTAAATGGATTAACAACCTGCAAAAAAAGGCCAAAAAAAACTCTTAGATGACCTCACCAAGCTACCAAATCTAGTGTGTTTTGTCTACTTTCATGTAGTAAACAGAAATTAATAAGCAGAGGAAAGGTGAAATAACAAAACTTACTGTAGTCCACAAAGCAATCTTAGATGCAACCAAATCTTGAGGCAGGTTAAGAGTAAACTGTGATTCTGTTGATTCTCCAAACATGCTATATCCCATAACAGCCACACCCGCATACATCAGAGTGCAAATTCCAAAACTGTGAAAAACAAAAAAATTCGAAAACTTCAGAAAAAGATGAAAACGTAGAGGTTCCCTAAGATTGTGTAATGTCTTTATAATTAAGCTTACGATGCCAAGAGAACAGCAGGAAATTGAGATGGTTTGGCCATAGAAGTATATATATTTGGGAAAACACCATGTCCTGAGTAACAGTAACCATAGAGTCCTACAGAAACCGGTAATGTTGCGAGGTTTAGTGGAGTTCCTTTGCTGTGAATACCAACATCATCAACCAAACCAACCCAAAACAAGCACAAAACCACCAACACTGATGCAATCACCCCTCCAGCTGCAAAATTAAGGATAAGATTCATATATATGAAAAAGGAATCTTTAAAAGATCCCTCTAGATTGAATGTTTTATACCTGATATGTAACTTAGTACGCTGAGATCTCGAAGCCAAACGGTTGGGAGAACAGCGAGGGTGGTAAGCAGAGCAAATAGACGAGGCGCATCTAAGTGAAACCCTCCAATACTTAGACTAGCATTTGGAAACATTGATGAAAGATTATCACCTTCCAAAATTATGTATTCAACACTCATAGCCTGCATGCAAAATGAACATGTATTAAACTTTGTGTTACTTTATCATATAGGAACATTTAGTATTCCTCTTTAGACAAATATTCCAATGTGTGGTTGATGATTTTCAACATTTTTATTATACTTAAACCAGCTATTCCATATATGAAAAAGAGAGAGGGAAACACTATGGACCCTGGGCAAAGGTGTTGTCTACTCCACAAGTGGTCCATTGTTTTGACTTTTGACTTGAGATTCATTTAGAAAAATGTCTTTTGTCTTTATTTATATATTATAGAGCAAATTATTGAAGGAATTGCAAGTTGTACTTACATATAGCTCCATATAGAGTATTACCTGCAATCAAAAGAAAGATAATTGTAAACTATTGTCATAAGTGATATCTAATAAACCTCAAATTTACAATGTATTGATGAGTAAAATTTTGTTACTTACAGAGACCAGGATGCGGCCGGTGGAACCAAAAGCGGCATGGCCAATATCAGGATAGGTCTGGACATCGGGGTGGCTATCGAGGCAGTACCGCAAAAGCAAACCGGTGTAAAAACAAAGAATACCAAATGCAAAGAGAATGATAAGTCCCAACCATCCTCCTTCCTTCACAGCATATGGTGTTGACAATATTCCAACCCCACATAAAACATTCACTCCTGCACATGTATGTCATCACTCAAAGAATTTTAACTAATTAAGGTTTGACATTGTGTCAGTGAACAGAGAAAACCTGTCAGATTTTTTTCTGTTCACTATATATTGTCTCTAGTAGATAACTTTTGTTTAAAGAAAGACTCAACTGTTTTGTTTTTTTGCCGGACAAAGTGTAAGAATAGTTTTGGTGTTTCAAATGTATTAACTAATGTGTTAGATCTCATCATATTCAATTAGTCTAACTTCAAGTGATCACTTTGGAATAAAATAAAAAGTTAAGGACATTTTTTTCATATTTTCCTATGCGCTGATCAAAACTTGCAATGGTAACAAAAAATAATCTGCTAGTGACATCATTAACATAACCAAGTAGCTGTGATGAAACTCACCATTAAGAACAGCCTGTCCAAACGAGCTATCATTGGAGATTGCCATTTCATGAGACACCATGGATGATGGTTTCAACGGAAGCAGGGAATGAGAGCTATGCTTATGCTTTGGTGCTTCTTCATCTACTAGGAGGGGTTTTGTAACACATGGTAATGATTCTGGAGTATGTCTTCTTGTCAGTGTCGAAGACAAGAAAGAGCTTCCTACTCTCGACATTGAAGAATTAGCAAGAAAACCCAAATTTGGTGATGGTATTGGTACACTTCCAAACATATCAATCGATTGCCTGAAATATTAACACGAGTAAAACACAAATAAAAAAGAAGCCAAATCAAAACGTTAGAAATTAGAGAATGATGATATATACCTATAACTCTTTGGCCATGCCGTTGAGTATGGGCTAGCTTTAGATAGATGTTGGTTTTGATTGTAAGCGTCAGAAGAATCAGAAAGTGTTCCATCGTCGTCTTCATCGTCTGACAAGTGTTTTCTCTCGTCATCTCCTTCATCACTCTCGATGTAGAGGCTCTGATCAGAAGCCGAGTGATTCATTTTCTCGCAATCCTTATCCGGTTTATGAATGCTATTAAGGTTTTAGAGAATCTTTAAATTACACAAGAAACAAACAAAACATTGATTCAGAGAAAGTAGGAGTCTAGGGGAGTGAAAGGGCAAACGAAAACCGGTCAAGGACAAGTATAGATGCAAAGAGCCGTTAAAACGTGAGTCATTCATGTATATCAGAGTTAACCATGGTTAGGTCAAGTGTGTAACTATAGTTCAATAAATCAAGGCATTATCCTTTTCTAACCTCATTGGATATGAGAAATAATGGAGATTTTGATATGTATTAAAAAAAACAAATCTATTAGTTTTAAATTTTGCAAATAATATAGTATATTATAAAAATAAACAATATATTCTCATTTTATTCTTTATATGAAAAGTGCAGAAATGGTAATGAAACAGAATTTCCCAATTTCCTCCAAAATAACTTATTTATAATAATAATGATAATTATATGAAACAATACATAGTATTACTAAGTATTGAAAAATAAATAAAACATTAGATTCTTATAAGATTTAGACATTCATATTTTAAGTCTTTTATGTCAAAAAAAAAAAAGGGATTTATGTTCAAGGAAATGCACATGTGTTATTCTAGAAACTAAATGTCATAGGAGATGTTTATCACCTCTTTAATCGGAGATGGAAGCTTGAATATGAACTATGAAGAATATTTTCTCAAAAAAAAAAAAAGTTGTCAGGTTTTCGAAACAAATTGTGTTGAGTTAGTCTTCGTGGTGCAATCTCTTAACGACGTGTTTTCTCCAACTTTTTCGATGAATTTAGCTTGTTACGAGTTAAAAGTCTTTTTTGTTTTTCCAAATATTTTGGCTTTCGTAATCTCCAAACCTATTGATTAGCTAAAACTTCTAGTTAAGTTCTGAAAATTTTGATGTAAATTTTTATCCTTTTGATTGGTAACCCAATCAAAGAGTAAATTTCTATTTAATGTGTGGTTAAGAAAAACAAAAAAATTGTGAAAGAAAACTCTATTGGCGAGGGAAGAACCACGTCCACATCACATGGTGTGTGTGGATCTGTTTTTTCTGATAATTTGGAATTTTGCTATGTTAGTATGGCAATGCATCAACCGCATCACGAAACCACAACTCAAGAACATGCCCACATTTTAATCTCTTTATATTCGCCGCTTCCAGCTATATAAATTATTCTCACATGCTTTCTTATTTCTTATGGTTATTTTGAATTATTTTTCAAGTAGATTTAGCATGTGCTTTTGAGATTATTTCACACTTGTGCATGATCTATGCTGGTTCATGGTTATCTGTGTTAATAGATGATAAGAATTAATAAAACCAAAAAAAAAGAAAAAAGAAGTTAATTGACATGCAAACAAACACCGATAACTATAGTGTCTTATTATTCATGAAGCTTCTTTGTATTATAGTGTCTGATTATTCGTTAGTAAATCTTAGGAATGTAAATAAGATAAAGACTTAACGGATTCAGGTCGTACGTAGACCTTAGTTTCGCCAAAAGATTTTTCAAAAAGTCTTTTTTTTTTTAAATATCAGCCCAACAAAGGCCCTAACTAACCATGGTTAATTCTTATCAGGATTCTTCCACCATTGTAACAAACTCAGAGCTTGAGCTCATGGCCGTTAGGTGAGAGAGAAAGAAGAAGGAGAAAGAATCTTGTATTTTTCATTAAATGTAAAATGTTGAATATTTATAGTAAAACTTATACACATTTAGAGTAAAATACTCGTTATACACC